CGTCTGCACAGTGATGCTAATGTCTAAAAACTGCGTTTCCCACTGATAACTCCGACAGCGGGCAAATTAGATTTTCTCGTTACTCATATTAGTGCTATCATAGCCTATTCTGCGCGAATCGAGTTTCGCGTGTGCACTCACTCGAACTTTCGAAGTGCGCTCGCACTCTCGTCGCTGTCAATTTATTCGCAGACCGAATAGATTTTATAATCTCTAGCCGTGAAATTGAGGAACGGGCGCGCGCTTCCACGATCTTCTGCAGAATGAAAAGTTTTTTTTTAATTAAAACTGCAGATCATACAGAATCCGTACAGAAATATTCGTGCTAATATCTTCGCAGGGGGAGAATTTCAGATAAGAGCTACGTTAATATTAATACGCTGTCGATAATCTGCTGTCGTTCTCTGTATCGTTCCAGTTGAAGTCGAGGTCACAAATTGAGAGGAAGTCGCTATATATATATGTATGCATATATGTATATATCGACTTTTCGTTGTCGCGAGAGACGACACGTATGTCTTCTCTTATTAATGTCGGCGCAGCTGGCGCGAACATCGTAGGACGGCCGACAGAATTGGGAAAATTAATTGTCGTCTTCTAAGAGTACGCTCTATCTTCAGGAGAAGAGACTGTGTGGATATCAAGCAGCGTTACACATTGTTTGCAGGTGTGATTAATCAACGTTCCCCAGTCTCGCGGGCATTCAATTCAATTCAATTCCGGCCAGTGCACTTATACCCTGACTCTTTTCTTCGTCTCACGTGAAATTTCTTACATCCATTACTTACTGAGCGCGTGTGAACTCGTTATCAAAAACTCGAGTACTCGCGAGGCACACTTCTGATGACACCGAATATTGATATTCGATGTCCACGAATATCGATATTCGATATCCACGAATATCGATCAACAAGTAGGACGAATTTCCAGCGTTTGCAATTGAATTCTGTGTATTTTTTATTCTCTAGAAAAATTCTATTATCAGTAGAAAAGTACACTGAGAAAAAATTTACTAAATTTCAAAAAACGTTTGTTTGGATAGTACTGTAAAAATATTTGTTTAAATTAACTAATTATTTTCTAAAATTAAAAAAACATATTTATATTTAAAACTTTTTTATTTAATTTAAAAAAATAATTACTTAATTTAAACAAATATCTTCACAGTACTATCCAAACATTTCTTAAAATTTAGTAAATTTTTTTCTCAGCATAATCTGAGACTAGACAGCATCGATATGACATAACATACACGAAAATGCGATGAGATTAGTACATAGCGTTATAATGCAGTAATATTTAGCCATTACCAAATCAGCAAAACAATGTTTTTAAAAAAATATTTGTAAACATTTCCAAAAACATAAAAAATAATGAGTTAAGTTTCCTTTTCTTTACTCTTCTCTTTTTTCTTTTTACTTTCCTCTTCTACTAAAAAGAATTTTTTTTAAAAAGTTTAGAAAAATTTAATATTTTTAATATTTGAGAAACATTTATTTAAGATAAAAAAATAATTATTTTATTACTTGAAAGTTTTTTAATTATTGGATGTCTTATGTTAATTTATCTAGTCCTTCATTGATAAACATTTCGTAAAAATTTTGAAAAAAAATTTGAAGAAGTTAGGTTCGAACGCGCAACCTTCCAGCCGACTTCTGCTGCTTTGCTACATTTACTAGCGGCTAAACTATTCTTATTTGTAAATAGTACTTACGGTGCGTGAGAAACTTTACATACAAGTTTTTCGTGAATGCTTAAAAGCTGCGTTGTGCCATTTGCCCAGTCATTAATAGGGGGAGGCTTAGTAATATATTAAAATTTCAGCGAAAACGGTGAGGTGAAGATTATTCTTTTGTGAATGCTGAATTGAATGAACGTTTTAATGAAAATATTTAGTATTATTTCAAATAATTAATTAACGTAAAAAGTGAGCATGGTGCAGTATTGCTTTTCTTTTTCGTTGCTAATAAAACTGTCATTATCCAGACAACATAATGTCTAAAATCGGGACATAAGATGTCTTAAAGATAATCTTTAAGCCGCCTTAAAGACATTTATTCGTAAATCGTCTGAAAGACATCTTAAAAATGATCTTTAAGACGTCTTATGTCCCGATTTTAGACATTATATTGTCTGGTAACATCGACGTTATGACTGGACAGTTTTTTTCAATACCAATTTGGATTATATTATCCGGAGTGCGCGTATGTACTTGATGAAGTGTATTTAATCGCCATGCGCCACGGATATTGAAAATCATTGAAGGCAAGAAATGTAGGTCGAGTGTATATAAATCGGGTATCAAGGGATATCTTTTCGGTGCCTGCACTCGTTAGCATCGTAATGCATGTTAAATAAACATCGGGAAGTTTTTATGCATTCATACAAAACTGGAACGACTTTTCTCGTCGTAAACCTACGGAGCACGTGCCTAAGGTGGATAATGGGAAGCAAGAAACAAGGGAGAATGAGGAGATTATGCTCTTGGCAATGGAGTGCAATTATAGAACGTAGCAAACTTTCGCAATATCTGTACCCAACTTTCATTGCTTAATACAGACTGCATTCGAGGCGTGAGCAGCTTTTTAACCTTAGTCTCTCGTTCTTTTCCCTTACACGTACATATTAAACTTGTTCTAGACGTGCCATCCGTATTTAATTATGAGCCGTCCTTCCCTGAAACTAGTATCATATGTAACTTTAATCAATAATTAATTATTTGTGTTGAAAATATTTTATAGTAATAAAAACTTCCATTATTCCATTATTGGATGAACATGAAGTTTTAATATGTGTAAATATCGTGCACGGAATTTATTTCATTTGCTTTTGTTATAGGCGAATTAATAATAATTAATCGCACGGAGAATGATTTGATAAATAATATATAAAAATGTATTAATTGTTTATAAAATACAACAAATTTTAATTTTTTTTTAAGATGCATGAGTGTTTTCTCACGATTTTTCTTTTCAAGGAAGTGAATGCGAAGCATTGCATGAATTCTATAAGAATGCAAGGAAATTTGCTGCTTCGAAAAATCTTTCGAATATGTAAAATCGATTTTACTTTGGGCGACACGCATTGAAATGTAAGAGTAGAGAACGTGCAGAGTTGTTTGATACACACACATATACTAAGCCCTCACAACTGTCGCGCGTGCATAGTTCATAAAGTTACCGTTAGGGTTCGCAGGCGTGAGGCTCTTTCTCTACTCGCAGTTAAAATTTAACTCAAGTACTTATAAATTGAGGCTTGTAAGAGCGGAAAGCATACTTACCTGGCGCAGAGGTTACCGTGATCAGGAAGGCGGTTCCTCCAGGGCGAGGCTCTTCCATTGCACCACGGTTGAGCTGACCCTTGCGAATATCCCTAATGTGGATATCTCGGGCGTACAATTTTTGGTAGTCGGGACTGCGTTCGCGCTATCCCGGTTAATACTTCTCAAACAGAGAACTTCTTTTCTATCTCATACGGACACCGACCAGGGTTTCCCCTGCTATAGGCACGACTACCTTCTCGAAGCGTTCAAATCAATATGGTCACAAGAGGGACAGAAGGATCCAATAGTTAATGCGAGAAGTCTCTCTCCAACTTTTATAACTTCGCGAGTTCTTCACGAAAAGTGTAAGAATTTCCCTATTGAATGAAAATAAGAGGTAAGTATACTTTTCTCTTTTTCTTCAGAAACATTGTGGGGCTTACATATGTGTTGAAATTCCGTAGTAATAATTATGAGTGGACGGGGAATATAATTTGCAGCCCTTACGTGTTTACCAATTTTTTACTAACTTTGGTATAAATGGAAGTTTCTGTTGACCTTGGCTAGTTGTTAATACAGTTTCGTGTATCTTACAAATAGAATTTACTTACAAATAGAATTTACTTTTACAAGCGGTGTTTGGATTTTGTATATAAATGGTGTAAAAGAGTATTCTGCGACTATTAAGTACGTAAATACTAATCAATAGAAAGTATCTTTCTTGCCTATATGGTATTTGATATTTCTACGCCCGAGTGTAGGTATTACGAAAAGAAATAATGAATTGTAAAGACGAAGGTCGGTATATTATCGATCGGAAGCGTAATATAAGAGTGAGCATATGAGATAACCAGCTTGTTTAACATCTGTTATTACGGTTTATTTAGAGGACTCTTCCTCCATAGTTTATCCTCGTATTTTTTTTCTTTTATATAATTGTATAAAACAGACAGTTCAAAAATATGGATATAGAAAGAAATATTAAAGAGAACAGTAACACATATGGTGACGCTGATCGCTAGTGAGAGAGAGAAAGAGAGAGAGAGAGAGAGAGAGAGAGGTTATTGAATCACACATATGTGACACTGGTAGCGACGTGTTAATAAACGACGAGCTACGCATCCCCGCATCGTGACTCATAGAAACGAGGAGCGCTCGCCGTCTACTGCTGCCATCTGCCGCAAGCGGGCAGAGATAATAAATATAAACCTATCTGTACACGATGCAGACGATAAATGTAATTATTATGCACAAATGACTTTGCAGTATCTAAAATGTTTAATGGAATAGTAGCGCATAGAGATGACGTGTTAATGATATATATATATCGTAAATTTTTCACGAATTTGATACTTTAAATTTATCTCTATAATCCGGAATTTCATTGAAATTTCTGAATCATAGAGAAAGTGACAGCAACAGATCTCTGGGTTATGTATGTGTGTGTGCGTGTGTGTATGTATGTATGTATGTGTGTGTAACATGTTGACTCTATTTTACAATATCCCGTAACTGAACGGGGACAGTAGCGCAAACGCGATAAAGTTTATCAATTTTTTGCATTCATTGACAACAATGAACGTGATCGGACTTCGCTGAAATCACACACCGCGCGATACGTCGATAACGATAGAGTGCCAGGTATTATCACGTTCGCGATACAGCACATGCATATACAGGACATACAGTGTCCTTGCTAAAGTCATCTTCGTATTGATGAATCCGAGGGATTCACGGTTACGGCAGGCTATTCACGGCTTTCGGGAAAATTCAGAGATCAGCAAATTGAGGCACTAACGATGACATCTCACGAGGGAAAGACCGTGCTCGAGGGAGCTTGGGGGAGAATGGAAGATGTATGCGAAAGATTTCAAGAACATCCGGTAGTTTCGCAACGTCTCCGTATATATGAACACCGTGTGAGTATTGGTGGGCACGAATTGTTGCCTTTAAATTCCATTAAAGGCTGCAGACACTAAATCATGGTGTCCCGTGGGAACACATCGTTCGAGCATGCGCTCGTGCAGACGCCGGCTGCCGCTGTTCCCGTGGGAGGCGAGGTGCGCGAGTACGAAAAGCAAGGACGACGAGACGGCGAAGGCGCAACATAGCGCGCGCCCCGTTACATTCTTCTCGCGCGTGGGGTTGAAACGCTCAGTCGGATCGCGACACCCTGTGTCGAAGGGTCGAGCGCGCGGCAAAGTCGTTGTTCGCGGTGGTCAGCGTCGAAGACCCGTCTCCGCGGCAACTCGACGTGCACGGTAAAGTGTTTATACGGATGTCGCTTATTTTTATTTCGCCTTTATACGTAGAATATCCGTCTCAAGAAGGAGAAAAGACTCCGCAACGCTGAGGTCAATAATCGTTCGATTCGACGATCTTGCTTAATTAAATGCGGAATATCGAGGATTCCTTAAGGTAGTCATCTGCCGTATATCCGTTGGGGGACTCAAGTGATACCAGAAGATTAACGTCGCGAATTTGCACGCGGCTGTGCATTTCGCCGCGATTCCGCTCGGCGGTCAGTGTGCCGGGAACTCCGACGGCATTCAACGGCGAACTGTCCCTGAACATGAGTACCGTCAAAACCGAGGAGACATTTTCGCCGAATAGCCAAGAGTGATAGAATTTCGTGGCGCGAGGGGCGAGCAACTGTGCGATCGACATGTCGACGATCGATCGCGCGCGCGGCTAATCGCTGCGAAGCGACGACGAGGGAGAGTCCGGTGACACGTGCGTGAGGAGCGTTTCCGCGACTGTCGTTGGGAGTTGTCTACCGAGCGGGATCACGGTGGCCGCAGCAAGGTCGTGTCAGGGTCGCGGAATCGCGAGGAGAATGTGGAGGAAGGACGTGACGCTCGCCAGGTTGATCGTCGCCACGCTGATTACCCTGTCGGACGGCACCGCCGCCGGAAGCTGCAGCTCCGCGAAGCTCTGCTGTCAGGGCAGGGACTCCGGCTGCGTCATACAGAAGGAGTCGCCGAACGCGATTATCCAGAGCCCGCGCGACAAGCCCTGCTACTGCGATCACGCCTGTCTCAAGCTCGCCGACTGTTGCGACGATTTCAAGGAGACCTGCGGTGGTACGTGTTTCACGGTGCGATCCCGTGCTTGAAAGGGTTGGATCACGTCGTCCTTATCGGGTGACGTCGGGAGGAAAGATCGACGGCCGAAGCGCGATTTATTACGCAACTAGGAATTGATTTCTCGTAGACAATCGGAGATATTCGGCCAGGGATATAAAAAAAAAGATAGAATTTTTTTATTAAATTAATGAGTTAATAGTTTAGAATTAAATTCCTTCTTACGCGCCACCGACGATTATGATAATAACGAATATCTCGCTGTGATAATTTGGTGTTGTTACAACTGTAATGACTGTTTATCATTTGTATTGGAAATAATTCAATGTTCCGCGTATTAATCGCGGGAAATTGACCATTTACAGGGGGAGTTTAATGAAATTGAGATATCGAGTCAAAATGTGCGTACTAATTAAGGGCGAGTCTAAAAAAAGAGACAATTAATTCTCAACTGAAAGACACGGCATTAAACATCGATTAATCGATATAACAATGTCACTTTCTATTTACGGGCCGTAAGACTCTTAAGCATTCGCTTAACATTCTGGATTTTCCGGGATTATACGGGGATCTTAAGGACGTATCATGCTGCTTCAGCGCTGGAATGGACGAAACGCGGCCGCTTTAATCACCAAGTGGCCCATTATTAATTACGAAATTTTAATTAACACTAACACGACTATGTTGACGGACGTTTCCGGGAGAAAAATCGCGCTGCTTAATGAATTATTTCTCGTTTATGATAGTCAATAAAACAGATATTTTACCCGGATGTATCGATATTATGTATCAACTAACTTGCGGGGAGAAATATGACTCATATTTTTTGTAGAAACCTTTAAAAGTCAATATCAACTTGCAATTTTCGATCAAACCGACCGCACGCGAGGGCACCAAATAAAAATCAGATACTACGTGCGAGCTATATCAATAATGCTGCAAGCTGCGCGAGTATTTGACCAGGTATCGAACAACTATCAATCTATCGAATGTGTTTTAATCAAAACCGCCGCGCTTTCGTATGATCAAACCGTTTCAAATGATAGATGCCACCGTAATTGCATCGTATGTTTGATAGTCGCTATCATGTTCATCGTCGAAGTCACATATACAGGATATTGCAGAAATCGAGAGGAGAAACTTCGTCAAGGAGATTAATTTTGTCTCTCGCGAGCGTCACTCGTCTGACTGACGAAGTCGAATAGAGAATCTCTCGAAAAATCGCTCAAGAACGAACAAGAAAAAAAAGGGGAGAAAGATATACGCGTAAATCTCTACGCACGAGTGTTTCGCGTTTAGGAGGAATAGCCCACAGGGAACCATTTCACACATAGAGGTAGGAAGAATTATTGGCCGTTATATTGCGTAAGTGAAGCTGATAACGTTGACCAACGGGTCAGCCCCAACAAAGCATAAAAGTGGTGAATACCTTGCGTAAATGTACTCCGCAATTTATAGACTGTAAATTGTAATTCATCTCGCAGATTTGACGTAAGTGTTACGACGTAAGTGTGACGACGGCGATTTTCAATCGAATTTTCTCTCTCGGGTATAATCGCGCGACCATCCGCGCGACCGACGCGAACTTCTCGACAATATTCAGTTTGTTATCTCCGTGTTACATACTTCCAAAGTGGGATGAAATACCCGATTATTGACACCCGATTATTAATCGGCTTATAGTCATTGATACCATAGAAAAACCTGGTGTTTCCTGCAAACTAGCAATGATTGTCCATAGTTTTAGTCATCAAGTTCTCTTTTGAAATCATAAAGTGCAAATAGGAAGTTTAATTATAATGATGGTTACAAGAAAAAGCAGGTTTTCCTCTAGAGTGCCAATGACTAAAAGAATGCCAATTGAGTGTTTTATCTTACAGTGTTTATCTTATGGAATAATTACAGTTTTATCTTTTGGAATAATTACAAAATGAGAAAGAATCTTATAATACAGAGAAATAACAATTTTTTATGTATCATGGGAAAAAATATCTGAAAAAAATATTTATTCAGGGAGTACTGATAATATATTTATTTGAATCTTTTATTAAAATTTTTCTAAATTCTTTTATTCAAATAGCATAAACTATTACTTTCATGAAAAGCTAAAGTTTGAAGAAAATGCATATTTCCTTATTTAGAAAATATTTTATATTAGTAAATATGTTTTTTATATTAGTATCTACTAAATAAATATTTTTTATTCCTAAGATATATTTTTCCTCAATCACAAATTCAGTGGTACTTTCTTTTATTTACCTTTTTTTCCTGTAATTTATTAAAATATTTTTTAGTTGTTGTTAGTTATAATTCGCGTCGCGACTGCGGCAACAAATGCTATCACAGTTTTAATGGAAACCATCTCCGCATTATAAATAGTCGGGCTATTCCCACGCTGGGCACAATTTGAATTTGTTGGAAATTTTATGGGTCGCCGAACGACGCGCCTGTTAGTAGCAAAAGGATGTTACTCAATTCATTCCCGTTCGTTTGGTACAGTTATATATTGCTAATTACCAGATAATCAATTGTCGCGCGCATCAAATTGTCCATCGAAAAGCAACGATAAGGGAAAAGGAAATCACAGGACTCGCGCGTCTATTGTTTATTGTAGATCAATAACGGCGCTGTCGCGATTTAAAGGGAATGAAACCGTTCGTTAGAGATAAAAGTGACTTACTTCCATTATCGGGAATCCGGAACGTTGCAAAAGAGTCCGTTGCGCTTTTTATCTCCCATCCCCGAGCCTGTCCCTCTCCTCCGCGAAATGTTCATCTTTAATGCTCTGATTTCTGCCATTCGTGAAGCTACGAGGGAATCCGACGCGACACGAGCTTAAAGCCGCGCCGAAACGCGATTATCGCGCCTCCCTTCGTCCGACGAAGTAGGAGAAGAAGAAGAAGAAGAAGCGTCGGTTCCTTCCATCTTGAAAATGTAAGGCGCCGTGGCACTCTTGGCGGCTGAATTCGTTCTTCAAGTGGCGCAAAGCCGTTCGTCTAGAAGCGGGATAATCTCGCTCGTATCCTAGCTCGTCATCGTAGACTCGACACGCGAATTTGCATGCTTTGTAACAATATCGACGTATCGACAGTCACTGCATGGCAATGCACACGTGCACCATTCGCATGCGGTGGAATTTATATATAAAAATTACACGAGAAGATTACTTAGGTGTCTCCGCGCGCGATCTATTCTCAGCCGGCACGAATTTAACATTACTTCACCATCGTGTCGCTCGTCTATATATACCGCATCATTACTTTATATTTATACATTTCCAAATATACATCTCTCTGTGTTCTAAATGTACACTAGGAAAAAGTCGAATTTGTCTTGGGGGGGG